GCTCCAGACTGTTTCAAATCTCCTGCAGTGAGTTTTTTTCCACTTGTTTTATGTTTTCTTACAGCAAGAGAAGCTGACCCAATCAATCTTTTCATCTGCAGTTTTTTTGCTTTAAAAAATATGTTGTCAACACACATTGCTGCTCTTCTGTCAATGCGTCTTAATTCTGACTTGCAAATGTCACTGTAGTGTACAGGGACAAGTCTGTTTTTATTTGCAGGCCGCGCATTACCAAGAAATATTTCAGGAAAAGCCAGTTCCTCACAGTGTTCATCTCTAAATATGCTGAGTGGATGACCTTCTTGACCAGGTGCAAAAGAGTAAATTTTCTCTCTCTCTGTGTCTTCTAAGAAGTCTCTACCTGTTAACATTGTATCTCTTATACCCGGTTTCATTTCTTCCTCATCAATTTCATCCCAATCTGTAAAATCATTTGCCTGTAAATATTTACTTATATCTGATTTAGCTTGTGTTACCTGCTTTGTTTGCAGCAAGTTCTTGTTTATGCTATCAGCAGACAATGATGAGTCGCATACACTCTGCACGATATCATAGTGATCAGAGTTTGTATTTTGTAGGTAAATGGCTGTGTTATGTGAATGATTGTTCTGGTCAAGAAAGTTAGCTGAATACTTTAACCATTTCCAAGAGTCACCAGGCTTGCTGTAAACATAGATGTCCGTTTGTAGTAGATGTGCTGCAGCAAGAATTTCTGTTTCAGTACCCCAAACATTTTCACTATCCATGCCTGTTCGTCTTATATAATTTGCTGAGGTACTGTCATTATCACCTAACATACTACTTGCAAAAGCATACTCAAGCTGCTTCATATGACTGACAATGTTGTTTCTAAGTATAATGTGATCATTATCATACAACATGTCAGAACCAGTGATGGCAAAAGACAAACTTCGAAAAAAACAATTTCCATCTCCAATAACTTTCTTCAACTGCCTAGGATTTGTCAAGAGAATATTATTACCAGTTTCAGGCCAATTGTGTAGACGCTTTAATGGTAAGTTTAGTTTCTCGGTTATTTTCTCTTGCCAGAAGGCATCTACAGGCATAAAATGAAATGAAGTATTGTCAGTTCGTAGGTGTTGTACCTCATTTTCAGATTCACAATATGTAGGTAATATGTGTCTTTGCTGTAAGTATGATAACTCCTTTTGCAAGTGTAAAACATTTCTTACTCTGTGTCGAATTTTCTTTACAGTTCTGAAGTATCTTGAGTACCATGTTCTTCCTTGTTTTTTTCTTTTGAACAAGCCATAATAACTCAGTTTCAAATGCTTATATTTTCTTAGAATATAGTGGCGCTTATAAGCAATGACTTTTTCAATTCGTTCTCTACTACAAGATCTGATTGTATTTATCTTCTTGCGATATTTTGATCTGCCTCTCTCTTGTGATTTGAATGCAGGTACACTTAAAAGGTGTGGCTGTTCTGAAGAACCAGTACTTTTTCTTTCATTTTGAATAGAAGCCACAAATTTGTCAACATCAACAGATGGATCATATTTATAAGGCTTGTCTAAAATGACATAGAATTCATCTGCAAAATCACCATCCTGATCCATAAGGTGCCCTTCTTCAGAAAATTGAATGTTTTCACAATTAGCAGGGCATTCAACACAAACAAATTCTTTCAGTAAGTTTTGTATTTGTTCCTCACTCAAGTTATTAATAGTTGTATGCTCTTTTTTTGTTTGTTCAAATGTATCAGAGCTGCAGGGATTTTCTTCTAATTTCCAGGTTGTGTCTACAGTTATTCCCTTTTCTTGATATAATTTTCCATTTGCAGTTAACCAAGCTGCAGCTTCAAGTACTTTGTTAGGTCTTACATTCTGAGCATATGCATAATTTTTAAATTTCACATTTCTTTTGAGCTGAACTTTAATTGTACAACTATCTGCCTCAGTTCTTGGTAACTTTGTTACAGTGGATGTAATATCTGCTGGTATATTTACAACATTCCCTTCTAATTTGTATTGTTTTCCACGTGGAGCTTGAAGAAGCTTCATGAAAACTAACCTTGGGCTAGTTAACCTCCACTCTAAAGGTTTTAAATCCAAAAAGCTGGGTTTTTCTGGAAACGACAGGCCATTCACTATAGCGCATGGAGGAATTTTGTTCTTTTTCAAATGAGAAGCGCATGTTAAACATATCCAATTACTGTCAAATAAATCACCAGTTTCTTTGCAATGTTTAACTGCATTATTTTCTAAATTCATGATAGACTCTGAATTTATCACAGTATGCCTGTACCAAAGTTGTTGACATATACAACATGTATAAGTACAACCTTCAGCAACTTTTTTGTGGAATTGTTGTATTAACTGTTGAAGCTCGGTATTGATATTCTGTCTCTTATTACGTTTAGCTACTGAATCAGATTTTCTTTCATGTTTTCTGAATTCGGGATCAGATCTTTTTAACCTTTTTTTACTTCTCTCAGTTACTTTGTAATAAGGATCAGCCCTTTTCAACTGTTTGTGCTTTAAAATTTTGCTCTTCTCATCGACCTGAGAACGTTTTAGTCTCTGAGATTCTTGTTCACTTTTCCTATACTGTGGATCAGCCCTTTTCAACTGATTATACTTAAAAATTTTGTTCTTCTCATCGACCTGAGAACGTTTTAGTCTCTGAGATTCTTGTTCGCGCTTCCTGAACTGTGGATCAGACCTTTTCAAGTGTCTGTGTTTTTGAATTTTCCTTTTCACATGGGACTGAGAACGTGTTATTCTTTGAGCATTTTGTTCAGCTTTCCTGTAATGAGGATCAGATCTAAGAAGTTGCATCCTGATTTTATTTTTCTCTCTTTTCAAAAGATTTCTGTCAGTGCTACTGGTTCCCGTAAGTGAGGTATCCAAAAGAGTTTTACTCACTGCGTCAATTTTGCTTTGTTGTTTGTCTTCTGTCCATTTTAACTGCCTCTTCATTTCATCATGTAGTCTTTTCAAATGGGGTTTGTGCAAATTTGTTTTATCAAAAATGGATGAAATAGAATCAGAGGTAATGGTATTACCAGTGTGTTTTGTTAATGGTACCTTCTTCATTGAACCCATTTTTGAATATTGAACACTTTTTTCCAAAGGTTTTAAGGATGTTTTTAATGTTACCATATTGGGTTGATTTCTTTGAATTTCAGGAAAAACAACTGATTGTTGTGATTTTTTCTTTAATTTGTGGGGTACCGTTGAGAGCTTTGGGTTGACTGGCATGTTAGATTTTACAGACTTATCTGATGGTGAAAAATGGTCTGAATATATTATAAACTTACTTGAATGACCAGGGGCATCAGTGGCACTCAAACTGACAGGATAGGCTGTGTCAACTGTAGTATCTGTCTCATCTGAAGCATCTGTATAAGCTGCATGAACAGTAACATCTGAAGCAACTGGAATCTCAGTGTGTTCAGGAAATTCAGTGTTTTCAGTAATTGCAGTATTTTCACTTTTTTCTGTGATTTCAGTAATTTCACTGTTTTTTTCAGTAATTTCACTGTTTTTTTCAGTAATTTGTGTAATCTCAGTAATATCAGTAATTTCACTGCTTTTCTCAGTAATTTCACTGCTTCTATCAGTAATTTCACTGCTTCTATCAGTAATTTCACAGTTTTTCACAGAGCCCACCGAGGTGGGCGTGCCTGCTGCAGCAGGCACAATAGTAGATGTGGCAGCCTTGGGCACCTTCTTTCGACCTCTCTCGATACTTTTCTTCTGATGTGCCCTTCTTTGGGCCATGCTTTGTTTTTTCAAGCGAGGCATCTAGAAATATATATGAAAAAATATTATATTTATTGGCTAAAAGTTATACATATCATTCAAGATGGTTGAAAGGGGTAAATTATAATAGAAACTGAGAGAGTTGTAAACAGTTTCTTTTGAGTGCAACTGCTTAAGAGGCCCTTAACAAACAACCAAGACTAACAAGTATACCGAAAATAAAACATTATCAAACAAAAACATTATTTACTGATGTGTTGATTCTGTAATTAAAGGTAAACGCCAATGGAGAGTGGATCCCCAGTAACACATGCAATCCACCTCTACTAGTTACTTATATAACAGAAATGAAGTTGACATGCCAATGGACAAAACAAATTAATCACTTCATCAACCATAAAAGAGCCTTTAACTATCTCATTAAACTGATGGTTAATTTGGACTACTTATCTAACCTACTAATATTTATCAGTCCCATTTATATACAGCAGAAAAAATAGACAGAAGAATGTATTCACATATGCCTTTTGGTGTTGTTTTACAAAATGCTAGTTAATTATAACACGGGGTATTCAGGACACAGACCATGATTACTAGATACCTCCAATGGATTTTTGGAATTTGGATTTTTAATGAGAGCAGTGCCTTAGATACAATGTTTTATTCCATTTTAAATGACTCAGAATAATCTAATAGTGGATTCCTTGCAAAGCATAATATTTGCTGTGCCCATCATATTATTGTCATTAAAGATTACACTACTACACTTAATAAAAAAAAAATAAAAAAAATTAAAAAAATAAATAAAATAATAATAATAATAATAACCCAGTTTCTACTTCCAGCATCGAGCGGGTTTATATTGAGTCTGGTAGTTTTATTTGTCTTAACCCTCAACCACAAGGAAATGGAACCCTACGTAAACCCTGAAACCGGGCCTCAGAGGCCCGGTGTACCATGAAAATCTGACTCCCCCCAAAAAACATTCAAAAATATAATTTAATTTGAGTAAATAACTATGATCTTGTAGTATGCATAATGGAGGACACATTGGCACTTTTTGTTAGTCTGCAGGTGAAAATTTTCATGAAAAAATAAAAAAAAATTAAAGATNGACATTCTGAGCATATGCATAATTTTTAAATTTCACATTTCTTTTGAGCTGAACTTTAATTGTAGAGCTATCTGCCTCAGTTCTTGGTAACTTTGTTACAGTGGATGTAACATCTGCTGGTATATTTACAACATTTCCTTCTAATTTGTATTGTTTTCCACGTGGAGCTTGTTGAAGCTTCATGAAAACTAACCTTGGGCTAGTTAATCTCCACTCTAAAGGTTTTAAATCCAAGAAGCTGGGTTTTTCTGGAAACGACAGGCCATTCACTATAGCGCATGGAGGAATTTTGTTCTTTTTCAAATAAGAAGCGCATGTTAAACATATCCAATTACTGTCAAATAAATCACCAGTTTCTTTGCAATGTTTAACTGCATTATTCTCCAAATTCATGATAGACTCTGAATTTATCACAGTATGCCTGTACCAAAGTTGTTGACAAATACAACATGTGTAAGTACAACCTTCAGCAACTTTTTTGTGGAATTGTTGTATTAACTGTTGAAGATTGGTATTGATTTTCTGTCTCTTATTACGTTTAGCTACTGAATCAGATTTTCTTTCGTGTTTTCTGAATTCGGGATCAGATCTTTTTAACCTTTTTTGGTTTTTCTCAGTCAGTTGGTATTCAGGATCAGCCCTTTTCAACTGTTTGTGCTTTAGAATTTTGTTCCTTTCGTCGATCTGAGAACGTTTTAGTCTCTGAGACTTTTGTTCACTTTTCCTATACTGTGGATCAGCCCTTTTCAACTGTTTGTGCTTTAAAATTTTGCTCTTCACATCGACCTGAGAATATTTTAGTCTCTGAGATTCTTGTTCGCGCTTCCTATACTGTGGATCAGCCCTTTTCAACCGTTTGTGCTTTAGAATTTTGCTCTTCTCATCAACCTGAGAACGTTTTAGTCTCTGAGACTCTTGTTCGCGCTTCCTAAACTGTGGATCAGACCTTTTTAACTGTTTGTGCTTTAAAATTTTGCTCTTCTCATCAACCTGAGAACGTTTTATTCTCTGAGATTCTTGTTCGCGCTTCCTAAACTGTGGATCAGACCTTTTCAACTGTTTGTGCTTTAAAATTTTGCTCTTCTCATCGACCTGAGAACGTTTTATTCTCTGAGATTCTTGTTCGCGCTTCCTAAACTGTGGATCAGACCTTTTCAACTGTTTGTGCCTTAAAATTTTGCTCTTCTCATCAACCTGAGAACGTTTTAGTCTCTGAGATTCTTGTTCGCGCTTCCTAAACTGTGGATCAGACCTTTTCAACTGTTTGTGCTTTAAAATTCTGCTCTTCTCATCGACCTGAGAACGTTTTATTCTCTGAGATTGTTGTTCGTTTTTTTTGTACTCTGGATCAGATCTTTTCAACTGTTTGTGTTTTTGAATTTTCCTTTTCACATGGGACTGAGAACGTGTTATTCTTTGAGCATTTTGTTCAGCTTTCCTGTACTGTGGATCAGATCTAAGAAGTTGCATCCTGATTTTATTTTTCTCTCTTTTCAAGATATTTCTATCAGTGCTACTGGTTCCCACAAGTGAAGTATCCAAGACAGTTTTACTCACTGTGTCAATTTTGCTTTGTTGTTTGTCTTCTGTCCATTTTAACTGCCTCTTCATTTCATCATGTAACCTTTGCAAATGGGGTTTGTGCAAATTTGTTTTATCAAAAATGGATGAAATAGAATCAGAGGTAATGGTATTACCAGTATGTTTTGTTAATGGTACCTTCTTCATTGAACCCGTTTTTGAATATTGAACACTTTTTTCCAAAGGCTTTAAGGATGTTTTTGATGTTACCATATTGGGCTCATTTTTTTTAATTTTTGAAGGAACTGATTGTTGTGATTTTTTCTTTAATTTGTGGGGTAACGTTGAGAGCTTTGGGTTGAATGGCATGTATGATTTTACCAACTTATCTGATGGTGAAAAATTGTCTGAATATATCACAGACTTACTTGAAAGACCTGGAGCATCAGTGGCACTCAAACTGACAGGATAGGCTGTGTCGACTGTAGCATCTGAAGCATCTGTAACAGCTGTATCAACTGTAGGACCTGTATAAGCTGCATGAACAGTAACATCTGAAGCAATGGGAATCTCAGTAATCTCAGTGTGTTCAGGAAATTCAGCATTTTCAGTGTTTTCAGTAATTGCAGTATTTTCACCGTTTTCTGTGATTTCAGTATTTTCAGTAATTTCACTGTTTTTTTCAGTAATTTGTGTAATCTCAGTATTTTCAGTAATTTCACTGCTTTTCTCAGTAATTTCACTGCTTTTCTCAGTAATTTCACTGCATTTTTCAGAATTTTCACTGCATTTTTCAGTAATTTCACTGCATTTTTCAGTAATTTCACTGCATTTCTCAGTATTTTCACTGCACTTTTCAGAATTTTCACTGCATTTTTCAGTACTTTCACTGCATTTTTCAGTACTTTCACTGCATTTTTCAGTATTTTCACTGCACTTTTCAGAATTTTCACTGCATTTTTCAGTAATTTCACTGCTTTTCTCAGTAATTTCACTGCATTTTTCAGTATTTTCACTGCATTTTTCAGTATTTTCACTGCTTTTCACAGAGCCCACCGAGGTGGGCGTGTCTACCGAAGTAGACACAATTTTCACAGAGCCCACCGAGGTGGGCGTGCCTGCTGCAGCAGGCACAAAAGTTGATATGGAAGCCTCTATCACCCTCTGTCTTCTTTCCTGCATACTTTTCTTTTGAAGTGACCGTCTTCTGGTCATACTTTGCTTTTTCAAGCGAGGCATCTAGAAATATATAAAAAAAAATTTATATTTATTGGCTCAAAGTTATACATATCCAACAAGATGGTTGAAAGGAGAAAACTATAATAGAAACTGAGAGTTGTAAACAGTTTCTTTTGAGTGCAACTGCTTGATAAGCCCTTAACAAACTACCAAGACTAACAAGTGCACTGAAAATAAAACATTATCAAACAAAATATTTACTGATGTGTTGATTCTGTAATTAAAGGTACATATCGATGGAGTGTGGATCCCCAGTAACGCATGTAAAACACTTCTACTAGTTACTTGTATAACAGAAATGAAGTTGACATGCCAATGGACAAAACAAATTAATCACTTCATCAAGCGTTTAACTGTATCTTATTTAAATTAGTGGTTAATTTGGACTACTTATCTAACCTACAAATATTTATCAGTCCCATTTATATACAGCATAGAAAGCAGAGAGAAGAACCTATTCACATATGCCTTTGGTGTTATTTTAAGTAATGCTAGTTAATTACGACACATGGCCTAGTAACTCATTCCCTCTGTAGGGAACTAATAAGGTGATACTTTTAGCACTACAGTGTTCAATATGCACACTGATTCTCTGGGTGACAAGTAAAATCAGCCCAACACTAACCTGGTCCCCATTTCTGCACCAAACACCTGTAAATTGCACATTTCAGACAGATGATCTATTTAAAGGTCTATTGTGTATTCAAAAGCAACCTTCAAATGTGAACAATCAGTCATGAGCCAAAAAAAATTTTTGAGCCTTTTCTCCTATTTGGAGAAACCAACCAGTGGATACTGACATTTCAGATTTCAGGGAAGTATACAACAGTATTATAATAAAATAATAAAAATTGCCATAAAGGCTTGATGTTTCAAAATAACCAACCCACATATTGCCAACAATTAAGTATCTACCTATCTAGAAGTATTGCCTTGGTATGAACTTGGCTGCTAGTAGCTATCTAGATAAAGTGCACATAGCAGGTACTTAGATGATCCTGAGACTTAAATGACAAGTATCTAAAACAATACTTACATTTTATTGCCACACTAATTATCCTGACAAGGTGACAGAGTGGCTACGGTAACTGTGAACTGTGAGCTGAAAGAAATATAATATTATATGAACACAGATGACTATTATCTATCTAACAGTGATGCTCCTTATATAACAAACATACTCCCTTTACTTTTCATCAGCTCCACATGTTGCGAAGAAACTATGGTTACTCAAAAAATATACAGTATATAATTATAATAATAATAATAATATCTTATAGTCTAAAATCCATATGAAATGTTCAGTAGCTTTTACAGGGGTAAAATGAGAATATGATCAGATAGTCTAAGTATGGGCGAGATTAGTTACACGATCGACGAAAATTGTGACAGCATTGGTTTTAATACACCATAGATGAGAAATGTTTGACAATTGAATTGACGAAAGTACATGTAGATGTTGAATTTATGACAGGATCGTTTAAACTTGAAACTGAATCGATGGGAAGGCAGTGAATCGACGGAACATAACTGAATCGACAACATGAATTTTTGCCCTTTTGGCCGCCCATATCTAAGAGTCAATAAATAAATGGACAGTTAGGATATTAAAATATAAAGTACAATGTAAACTAGAGGATCAGAGAGGCGATACCGCCTCTGGACATTGTACCACCAGTGGGAGTAATCATATTGGTATGGACCCCCCCCCCCAAAAAAAAAGGGAAACACTGCCACCAGTCTTGTGCTTGACAAGCTCTATAAAATGCAATCAACAAGAATTCTCAAAATATGCAAAAAAATATAACTAAAAATGGTACAATCAAAGGGTGCATTCCCAAAGATTTAGATCGATCCAGAGATTAAGATTTAGATCGACCTAACTCCCTGGGGGTTCACGCTAAATTGCAGTCAGCCGAGCACGCACCACAGGTTATTACCCCCCTACAGCTTTAAGTAGGGGGTAGAGACGCTTAAGCCGGCTAAGCTGACAGTAATCTAGTGAGACTCCCCACAGGGATAGATCGATCTAAAATCTATGGAAATGGGGTCAAAGTTCTGTTCATGGTAAAAAGAAGGTCAAAGGTCAATTTTAAGGTCATAGTAAATTGCCAGTATATGACTTCCTATTCAAATTCAATAGTAACTATGGACCAATCTCTGCCAGTTTTGAAGATAAAAGGGAACCAAAATTTGCAAAGTTCAATTCATGATGAAAAGTAGGTCAAAGGTCAATTTCAAGGTCACACTTAGATTGCCAGTATATGACTTCCTATTCAAGTTCAATAGTAACTATGGTCCTATCTCTGCTAGTTTTGGAGATAAAACGGAACAAAAATTTGCAAAGTTTAGTTCATGATGTAAAGTAGGTCAAAGGTCAATTTTAAGGTCACAGTAAATTGCCTCTAATGACTTTCTATTCAAATTCAATAGTAACTATGGGCGTATCTTTGCCAGTTTTGAAAGTGTAAGCATTAAAA